GGTCCATTAAATTCTAAAATTTGATCTACCGTTCTAATTACAATTGTTTCCGATACTACGTATAGATAATTATATAAAAATTCTAAAATTTTAAAATTTCAAATACATATAAAACAATCATATGTAATTTTTAAATTTGTCAATACTAAAATTTTATATTTTAATTACATATATTCACCCTGCGCAAGGCGCAGGTCTTATCCTAGTGTTAAGTTATTTCTCAGCTAGGCATTTCATCAACAAACATTACCTGACAAGGAAATGTGGATTTCAAACCCTAATTTGATGTACATATTCTTATTCTACTTGTGATTTGATTTTGCTTCCTTGTCAAGCACATTTTGGTTATTTCGTCTTTGTTTACTCTGTGTTTTGGGGGTAAGTTGTTGGTGAAAGATAGTCAATAGACTTTCTTGATTTATTCATCATTCAACGTGTTACATATATAGGAGAGATTGTTAGATGTGAGTTAGATACTCCTAGATTACAGGATTTACAATATTGACTAAGAATATCTTGAGGATATTCTTTTACCCTCCCTCAGTTGAAGCGTCGAATGTTTTGACGGTGAGACTGTTGCGAAAAGAGTTGAACAATGATGATGGCAGTCCTTTTGTAAAGATGTCTGCATACTGAAACTCAGAAGGTACGTGTAGAACTTTTACCTCACCCAAAGCTACTTTCTCCCTTACAAAGTGTATGTCAAGTTCAACATGTTTTGTTCTTTGGTGCTTGACAGGATTTGAAGACAAGTATACTGAGCTGATGTTGTCGCAGAAAATGAGAGTTGCGCGAGATACCGGTTGGTGAAGTTCAAGAAGTAAGTTCCTTATCCAACATGTCTCAGCTACTGTATTTGCCACTTCCCTGTATTCTGCTTCGGCGCTGGAGCGTGACACCGTTGGTTGTCTCTTGGAAGACCACGAGATGAGATTTTCCCCCATGTAGACACAATAGCCGGAAGTTGATCGTCGCGTGTCAGGGAAACCGGCCCAGTCAGCATCAGAGTATGCGGTCAAGGTGCGTCGCTTGGACTTGTACATCTGGATGCCATGACCTACTGTCCCTTGTATATATCTGATGATTCGCTTCAGAGCAGTAAGATGGACTTGGCGAGGATCATGCATAAAAAGATATACTTGTTGAACGGCATAGCTGATGTCTGGTCTTGTAAATGTTAGGTATTGGAGTGCTCCAGCTAGACTTCGATATTGAGTTGGGTCTTTGATGCGGTCTCCTTCATCAGCAGCAAGCTTCTTGTTGACGTCCGCAGGTGTAGACAGTGGCTTGCAGTCGGACATACCAGCGCGAGAGATGATGTATGTTGCGTATTGACGTTGTGAGAGGAAGATGCCTTGATCATTATACTCAACCTTGAGACCCAAGAAATATTGAAGTCGTCCCATATCAGTCATTGGATACTCTTTCTTTAGACTTGATGTAATCCTGTCGAGAAGGGGCTTGCTTGAACCTGTCAATATAATATCATCGACATATAAAAGGAGGTAAGCAAGCTCTTTATTGCGACTGTATACAAAGAGAGAAGCATCTGATTTTGTTGTCACAAAGCCAAGGCCTCGTAGCGTTTGACTGAAACGTGCATTCCAAGCTCTGGGCGTATGTTTTAGCCCATATAAGGCCTTTTCAAGTTTGCAGATGTAGTGAGGATGCTTCTTGCTTACAAAACCCGGAGGTTGATGTATGTAGATGTCCTCAGAGATGGTGCCGTGAAGGAATGTGTTTTTCACGTCAAGTTGCCTTATCTCCCAGTCATTGTTCATAGCAATATCCAACACTGATCTTATCGTTGCCAGTTTGACGACAGGGCTGAATGTCTCGTCGTAATCAATGCCCTCCTCCTGAGTTTTTCCGTTTGCCACCAACCTAGATTTGCGTCGAGTAGGGTGACCATATGCATCATGTTTATACTTGTACAACCACATACAGTTAATAACATTAGCATTGACAGGTCTTGGAACCAACCTCCAAGTCTTATTAATAATTTGAGCATCATATTCCTCAGTCATTGATGGTTTCCAGTTAGGATCAAGAAGGGCTTTTTGTGGAGAAGTAGGTAATCGAGAAGCTGATAATGAGTAAAGAGAAAATATCTTTTTAGGCTTAACGATACCTGCCTGACCTCGAGTAATCATTCTTGTAGGAGGAGGAATGACTGGAAGTTGAGGAGTAGATGGTGTAGAAATGGCAGGCGGATTTGGAGGTGGTGTTTGAGCTATGGCCGGCGTATGTATTTCACTTTCCGCGGCAGGAAGAGATGAGTTGATCAAGATAGATTTGAAAATAGGTGAAGTCGTGTCTGAGAAATCCAAGAAGGTGTAAGTTGCGGTATTGCTAGACTGTTTTTGAGCTGCAGGAAAGGTAGACTCATCGAAAATCACATGGCGAGATAAGATGATTTGATTAGTCTTTAAGTTAAGACAACGATATCCTTTGTGACTCGTAGGATAGCCAAGAAACAAGCAAGGAGTAGAACGAGGTGAAAGCTTGTGAAGATTTGAGTGATTAATATTGGGGAAACAAAGGCATCCAAACACTGTTAAGTGAGAATAAGTTGGTGTTTTACCATAGAGAAGCGAGTGTGGTGTGTTTCCACCAATGGAAGAAGAAGGTAAGATGTTGAGAACATGGACAGCAGCATGAAGCGCCTCTACCCAATAAGTAGGAGAGAGCTGAGCTTGAAAAAAAGAGATCTGATAGCATTGTTGACGGTTCTGATCATCCTCTCAGATTTCCCATTTTGTTGGGATGTGTGAGGACAAGAGAACCTGAAAGTTATTCCATGTTCAGCAAAGTGTTTAAGAAATTGTGAGTTGTTGTACTCACCCCCATTATCACATTGTAAAGACTTTATTGTTGCTCCAAATTGTGATTTGACATTGGCAGAGAAGTGAAAAAATTTTGAAAACACTTCACTTTTACGCTTGAGAGGATAGACCCAAAGATAGTGAGTTAAATCATCCAAAAATAAAACATAATACCGAATGCCACTGAGACTAGGAACTGGAGAGGTCCAGATATCAGAGTGGACAATTTCAAAAGGCAAAATAGTTTTATTATTGGATTTGAAAAACGGAAGCTTTAAGTGTTTACCCAGTTGAAAAGCATTACAGAATTGCAAGCTGTCTTTATTACAAGCAAAACGAGAAGAAGAAATAAGAGTTTTCAAAGAATCATGATTTGCAAGAGCTAGGCGTTTGTGCCACAAGGTTGGAGTTTCCGCAACAAGAGCAGAGTGCTGATGTGAGGAGAGACTTGATGGCACTGAATATAAGTCACCTGAGCTGTTACTGCGGAGAATGGTTTTCTTGGATTGAAGATCCTTCACAGAAAAACCAAAAATGTCAAATTCAACAGAACACCAATTATCTTTTGTGAATCGACGCACATAGATCAAGTTTTTAATAATTTCAGGAGCAACAAGAACATTATTGAGAGAAAGAGGCCGAGTTTGAGAAGGAATTGAAGTATTACCAGATGATAGAATTGGAATGGGAGATCCGTTACCAACAATTACCGAGTTTCTGGTGTTCAATTTATTAACAGATTGAAGGTTACCTGAAGACGAAGCAAGATGAGACGATGCGCCAGAGTCCATATACCAGTTCTCAGAAGGCTCCGTTAAAGTCATTGTGTTGAATGCTTTGGCAAAGTCGCGAGTTGGTTGGTATTGTTGTTGGAACATGTTCGCTTCATGAAGTTGTTGCTGTTGTGGTCGTTCATGTGAGAATGGTCGTGATCCCGGAGAATACATGGGCCATTGTGGTGGAGGTGCATTCCAGTTACCATATGGAACTTGCCAGAATTGATGAGGGTAGTTCCAGTTGGTGTATTGTGGTCGCTGATGAGTGTTATTGTATCGTCCTCTCCCTCGTGTTCCTCTTCTGTTTCTGCGATTGGATTTCTGTTGACGTTGCTGATTGTCAGTTGATCGAGATTCAGTAGGAGTTGTAGTTGTCACCAGAGCAGTTGTCGATGATGCTGTGTCGTCGTGCTTAGCCGTGGCCTTAGACGGTTTCTTCAATCGTGTTTCCTCTAGCTCCAGCATGTTGCGAGCTTCTTCAAAGGTAGGAAAGGGTTTCTGGTGCTTGATGACATTGATGATGCGATCAAACTTCTCGTTGAGCCCATTTAACATGTACATGACGAGGGTTCTGTCACTTACTGGCGCATCTACATTCTCTAGAAGATCTGCAGTGGATTTGAGTTCTTGAGCGTACTCCAGAACCGTTTGATCTCTTATCTCCTTGGTGCGTAGATCGTTGTCGAGTTGGATGGCACGCGATTCCTTGTTGTTACGGAACTGATTCTCGATTCGCAGCCATATATCCCGTGCAGTACCTCCAGTCTTGAAAGATGATTTGAACAGAGGGTTAGCTAAAGTGTCGTAGATCCACAACTTGACAAGACCATCGCGTTTCTTCCATGTCAAGTCATCGTCTCCAGTGGGAGTAGCAGTTCCATCGACATGACCGAGAAGATCAAACATGAGGCAGTCAGTGAGGAAGAGTTCCCTCCATGCATCGTAGTTGTAGACATCAAGATCTAGAATTAAAGGTATGTGATGTTTAATGTTCGTCACTCCAAAGGCTCTCTCAACGGTCGCCATGGCGAGTGATTGCAGAAGAGACACTTGAAAGATGACAAAAAAAAAGAAGAAAAAGAAAATTAAGAAGAGCACAGCTCTGATACCATGAAAGATAGTCAATAGACTTGCTTGATTTTTTTTTTTTTTTTTTTTTAAGTACTTAATTATATTAATCAACCCAAAAAAACGGGAATTCAAGTGTTGATTACAAACGTGATTCGAACAAAATGGTCATAAGAAAAAACGAAACATCCTTAGCTTCGCTCAACCACCACCACACCGGCGCGTTCCGCTAGCTAGTTCCATAATTCTCAGACTATCAATAGCCGTTCTCAACCTTTAATGGTAACCATTTGAGGGTGGCGTTCACCTCGTTTCCTCGGTTGCCGGTACATCACATGCCATCATCGGAGTAGCTGGTTCTTGACGAACTCCTCACGCTCGTAATCTTCACTGACAAGTAGGCACAAGGTTGGAAGAACAATAGCCCGACAGAATCATACCTGAAACCCAAAGGACCAAACGCCAAAGCGTGTTCCCCAACACAAGAACAAAGTTCGGTTGAGCTGTAGCCGCCATGAAACGTGGTACGGGTACCTGCAATAAGAAAAAAGGAACATCCTATCGAAGTTTGTAAAAGCAAACCCCGATACTGGGATGGATGGACTCCAAACGCGCCACCATGGACATGAAAATAGAACTCCGGAGACTCGCGAAATGCTACCACCGTCCACGCACTCCACCTCTTAGAACAAGAGGATGGTTTTTCAACTGCAAACGGAAGTCGTCCGGCGACAGACGAGACTACCACAAACGAAGAACAACACCCGACCACTCACCACCATGAAAGTGCACTTCCGGTGAGAGTGTACCACAAAACAGAGCCGTGGAAAGAAAGGCAAGACCGGAGCAGAGGTTGAAGACGACGACGCCAAAGCATAGACAACTCCACGCGCCACCAACCGAAGCCTCTACACGCGCCGTCGGTAAGCTTCTAAAGACACCGCCAAGAGAAACGAAACCTACGCACGCCAAGACGGAGAGACACCGCCATAGTCAAGCCTGAGCGAGGTAGAGAGCTCCTCCTACACCGAGACACCACGGAGGAGGGAAAGAGCAAACACCACCACCCCACACCGACACAGATCCATGACAGATCCAAGCCAGGAGAGCCTTATCAAAGACCCACGCGCCACCAAAAGCTCCGGAAGAGACCAAATCGATCGAAGGGAGAAAAACGTCGATCCAGACTCAACCACCGGAAAAAGCCGACCTCACCACTTCAACGCTACCTAAACCTCGTCGTCACTCCGTACAGAGCCGTTCACTAACCAGAACCATCACCAGCGTCCCGGATTTGTAGATCTGAGAAACGAAGGTCCAATAGAGGCTTGACATATCGGAGAAGGAGAAGAGGAAGTGGAAGAGGCAAAGAGAAAACAGAAAACAAGGGAAGAAGAGCCCGCCGGAGACGGCACGACGCCGGCACCGGAGGAAAATACGAACGACTGTTGGTTGGGAGAGCTAAGAGAGAGAAGTTAAAGTAGAGAGGTTGTGCGTTTTTTAGTACCCTTGACTTGCTTGATTTATTCATCATTCAACGTGTTACATATATAGGAGAGATTGTTAGATGTGAGTTAGATACTCCTAGATTAATGGATTTACAATATTGACTAAGAATATCTTGAGGATATTCTTTTAGTTGGCTTTATATCTTCTACGAGTGAGGCTTAACTGATCTTGACGGTATGCGTGCCATTGGGTATTCAAAGTCTCTAAGTCTATCAAGAGGCTCCCTAGAGTCTAGAATATTGCATCTTTGTCTAGTGTTAGGTCAGTAAGTTATGACCATGTATTCAAGTTTGATTGCTATTATTAAATTCGTCATCATAATTGTGAATTCTAGAAAATCCTTAAAAACAAAATCAAAATCAAACTCTGTTACTTGTTTTACAAATCTTGGGACTTTTTCGGTTAAAAAATGCTAAAACAAGTGTGTTTAGAACATGAAAGGTATTCGATTTTGTAGCACAGTTGTTTTGATTTGTTTAGATCCAATCTGAACAAATAGCACTTTCAAAAATCAAATATGGATCAAAAACCAAAACCATTTCCCCTAAACGATTTTGTAGCCGGTTTAGTTTGAGACGGAGAATGATTTCCTGCATGCCTATGCTGAATGCAAGCTCAAATCAACACAACTGGTTTGATTCGGTCAAGATCTAAGATGAACAAAATAGCACTCTTAAGAGTCTTGAGGAAACATGCATCAAGAACGAAAACGAAATGTACTCCTAAACGATCTGGAAAGGTCCTGAAAGCTACCAATATCTCAGAAGACAAACTAGTAAACCAAGATTCCTCGCTAAACCGACAACTAAACCTCATTAGTTTTACCATAGATAGATAGGTTTATCATTATTTCTTTGCACTCAATCAAGGCTTGGAGGCACATGTCATAACATGCGACTTGAACGTCTCCAATTCTGTCAGAACTTCCTCTTCCGGTCTGTAAATCAAGTCACTCATCCTCCATATCTACCAATAGAAGAAAAAAAATATAAACACAACACATTTACGTTTTACCTACAAAATTGCTCATCGAGGTACCAATAAAGTGTTAAAAGGTTTACCTGCAAGGTTCCACCTCCACCAGTAGTCTCACAGTCATCAGAAACACTGACAATAGTCCACGGGTCCGCCGCATTCCAGTGGAAATCCACAACTTTGTCCCTAATATATAAAAAACAAATTAGAAGCAAGTAAGTAAATGAGAAAGCAATCAAGCGAATTAGGATCAAGTCTTTAACGAACCTATGACCAGCATGCTGGAAGAAGAGCCCGGCAGGGTTTTTAGCTGCACGATCAGACTTCTTACTGACCTGATGCATAGTGAAAACAAACCAACCATGAGTACGATGAATAACTTTCAGTGACGATAGCGAAATAAAGGTAAATTTCAGACATATCTGAGAGAATTGTATACACACCCTGTCATAATCCCAGATGTTCAAGAGACCATCTTCTGCGGAACTCCCAAAAACAGATGCCTTGTCAGGAGACCACTGTATTGATTAACATAATGTTATCAGTGAAATTATTAGGTACAGTAAAATGCTTTTTTTTTTAAAAAAAAAAAGCATAAGAGCTGTCGTTGAAACCTGAACGCAAAGTACAGCAGCTTTGTGGCCTTCAAATTTGTAGATAGGTGTACCAACTCCATTTGAGGTAAGGTTCCTACGGTCATACAACCGGACACTGTTGTCTGCAGACCTGAAACATTCAACTACATCTAATGAGTACATGTATGCATATTCTAAGTATTTTCTTAGTATAGATACTGCGTGAGACATATATAGACATATATATATCTATATAAGTCTGCCTCCATCTTTGTCTGTGGCAATCTATATCTGTTTCCACATACCCTGTCAAAATTAGATTGTCGTCATGAGGATTCCAGTCAACACAATGAAGATCTGAATCATGCGCCTTTTCAACCTGGTAAACACAAAAACAAGATAAAAGATAACAGAAGGTACTTCAAAACTTTGTTGGGATCAAGACGATAAAGTACCTTCGTGACAGGGCTAGTGCCAGTTCTTGCATCCCATAGTATAAGGCAAGAGTCATCGCCAACACTGCAGAACTCTTGTGCACTAGTTCACGAAATAAAAATATACCAGAAACATCATTAAAAATCATGAATATTCTGCATTCCGCAAGAAAAATATGAGATAATAAGGAGAATATTCTAAGAAGTTACCTAGTCGGGCTGAATGCGACATCTTCAACCGTATCGTCATGGCCTTGATATACACCTCGCGGGCCAACAGAAGGACTTTCAGTCTTATCACCACTTTCACCAATCTGTTTGATGATTGATCCCGATGATTTGGAATCAGTACCAGCCGTTGTGATGTGGTCCTGGATACTCCACAAAACAACTAACTTGTCCTTGCCTAAGAAAATGACCTTTGTATGAGAAACTGGTAAAAAAACACATGATCAGACACTAAGAATTACAGAAACATAGACCTCCAGAGAGGACAAAGGGTTCGGTTGGGCACATTGCAAGAGCATATTCAGCGTTATCTTGGTGTCCAGTTAGTATCTGCAAGAAAAAAAGATGAGGTTAAGAAAACAAGAATAAACCGCAAGCAATGATTTGCAACAACATTTCCCAGAACTCAGAAGTGGACATACCAAATCCGGACGAGAACTTGCAGCTCCAAGAACTGCATGACGGTTTGGTTGGGTATCAACATCCCAAATGAGAACCTGGAATCAACATATTGTATTCACGTAACTGAGACTATAAATTCGTTCAAAACAATGAAGTTCTTTGATTGCCAAAATAAGGAAGTATGAAAAACGACATTATATTGACCATAACAGAAATAAGAAGCAGCACTTACATCAGGACTGTCGGTGTGAGTAGCAATAATCTTACTGTTTTGTGGGAGTTCCCTGATTCTGTTAACCTGGCAATTGCAAATAAACAATGAATGCATCGAATAGAAGTAGAAGCAACAATGCCGATACATGAATATTTCTCGAATGGGAGGAATGCAAACCTCTCCAGGGTGAATGATGGTCTTGTACTTCTTCACAAATGGAGAACGTGCTTCTTCATTGAACTGAAACACACATTTCCAAGAGATAGTAAATTAAGTGTGACGACAGGACATCCATTTTAAGTCGGGGAGTATGGTAAGGAAAAGAGCTCTAGTTTGGTAGAAGAGCAACTAAATACCTGGGAAATGTGCTCTGCTGCAGCAACCCTTGGCTTAACAACTTCGCAATTCGCTATGACTAGAGTATTGGGAACACTGCCATCAGTCTAATGACACAACCAAACAAAAACAAAATTACAAATTTGATGAGACATATAGAAATATTCTGAGATCTTGAGACCAATGTCTGAAATGTTAGAGGGAGTAATATAGAATAGAAAGTAAAAGCAGCCTACTTGTTCAGAGAGGTAAAGACGCTGGCGATTCTTGTAGGTTGCTTGGTCGAGTTGTGGACCCCATCTGTGAATCCACCAAACAACAAACGAAACCTCTTAGCACAAAGAACTAAAGACTTGATTACATATGAAAACAGCTAAAACATCTGAAGTAACACAAACAAAACATCAAAAACCTTCTTCACCCTTCGTGTTGGTTAAGGTTCAAAAAACAAACAGCAGATACATCAAAGCGTGAAGACAAGAGACATTATAAAAAAAGAACATCAACACCAAACCATAACTAGATCTAAGTGTATCTCTCAGCATTTTTTGCTGATTTTAAACAGGAAAAAACATGAGAATGATCAACACAAGATCTAACTTAAACCCTAGAAAAAGAAGAGAGAAGAGAAAGGACCTGCAAGAGAGGGAAGGCCAGACGAGGTTGTGGTTGGCGAGCCAGTCGTAGAGAATGGGTACGAGACCTTTCCACTGAGAGTACTTGTCGTCCACACTCTGCTTCGTCTTAGTCATCTTCCCTACGCTGCTTTCCTTCATCTTCCCACCGCTCTCTGACTCCTCCTCCTTGCTCTTCGGTTTCCTCCCTCTCTTCTTCGGCGTCGGAGTGACCGTTCCTCCGCTCGCTTGAGGAGACGCTGCTGCTGCTTCGTCGCTCTCCATTTTCCTCTCTTTTTTTGTCGTTTTATTCGATTTTACTCTCTTCAGTGAGACAAAACAGTATCCGTATCTCTCCTCTCTACACTGCTTTACTAACAAAACCCCACCACCGTTTCTCTTTTTCTTTTCTGTAAAATAACTATTTATTAAATACATAAAAATTGATATTATCAACTAGTCTTACGCATTCGGTACGACGAGTCGAAGTAAACCGATCTGACCGAATCATTACTCTCAGTTTTCGGTTTCAAACCAATCGGCAAGATTAGCAAATTCAATCGACTTTTGATTCGCTAAACACAATCAACGAATAGCTTGCTGTCTAATTAACCGAATATAACCGGGTGATTCTGGTTCAGAGATAACCAATTTAACTGAATAAACCGAGTCAGAAAATTAACCGAAAATAACCGGCTTCTATGACTTTTTTTTTGTTTTTGAGCAAACCGGCTTCTATGACTTTATCAACAACATTTTCCCTTCTTTTTGCGTCTCTATGAGATCAACCCAAGGCTCCACATATTTCGACAATTATTAAACTGAATAAAAAGAACATATAAAATTTTTAAATCAAAATAAAAAATAATTACTCTTCCGAGTTAAAAATTCAAATATATTATTACATGGACCAAAATACGAAATATATATAATCAATAAGGACCTTAAATAATATAAACCTCAAAACATGAAGAAGGCAAACAAAACTCCAGAGACCAACCAAACCAAAGAAGAAGAGACAAAAGCAGAGGAAGAAGCAACAATCTGAATAGGGAAGTCACATTGTCCCTGAGATATATTATCNAAAATTCAAATATATTATTACATGGACCAAAATACGAAATATATATAATCAATAAGGACCTTAAATAATATAAACCTCAAAACATGAAGAAGGCAAACAAAACTCCAGAGACCAACCAAACCAAAGAAGAAGAGACAAAAGCAGAGGAAGAAGCAACAATCTGAATAGGGAAGTCACATTGTCCCTGAGATATATTATCCGACCTAATCTTGGCCAAACCTTGGAAGACACAAGCCTCCTCATCTTGGTTCTTCACTTGAAAATACATGTTAAACGCATACGAAGCGTTCCCATTTGCATCAAGACCATTGCAAGAAGATCCGTAACCAAGCGCCGTGCAATCCGAGAAAGTGCATGCGAAATCTATGTTCTGAGCCAGCTTTGTCAAGTCTTTAGCATCTGGATTAAACGCACACCACTTGTTTGGTAGATACGTCACGTTCTGTGCACCAATCAACAGCTTGTTCTGTCCCTGTCCCGAGAGGTCTAAAGGAAACTTTGGTTGCCCATCGAATTTGAATAGTCCCCAGTGACGCTCAAACGCTCCTGGTGCTATGCTTTTAGCATCCTCATCTAGTAAACCGAACAAGTAAACCTCAATGTAGGTTGGTCTCAGTGGTGTGCCTTTGTTTGTTCCAAGCCTCGGTAATAACCCGTTGTAGAACCTATAAGCATCGCCTGCAAAAGAAAACCCCATTCATCAAAACCATCTAAAATTACTTACAAATGTATGTTTTAGTTTTAGAGATGTTACCGTTGTTTGCGTGCTTGTCACCTTCTGTTGGCCAGCCAACTTCTCCTACTATTATAGGCATATCTCCATGGCCAACAGCTTTCAAAGAAGATACCAAAGTGTCGAAGTTGGCGTCGAAAACGTTTGTGTAAGCAATACCGTTGTCATCTATTGGTTGAGCACCGTCGAAGAAGGCGTAGTTGATTGGGAAGTCATCGTTCCCGTAGAGACTTAAGAAAGGGTAGATGTTGATTGTGATGGGGGCGTTGTTCTTGCCAAGGAAGTCAACGATCTGAGTCATCTGACCGAGGATATCAGGACGGAACCTTCCAGCAGATGGCACAGGGTTGCTTGCTGGTGAGTCGTAGACATCTGCGTTTAAAGGGACCGTTGCTTTTACAGAGTTCCCTAGTCCAGCTTCGTTTAAAGCGTTTTGGATGTTTTGAAGCGCAGGGAATGTGAGGTTTATGAATGTTCCGTTGTATGATTTGAGGAATGGCTCGTTCCCAACTGCTACAAACCTGAAATAACATACATGTCTTTGCATTTGATAATGTTGTTACTAGAAACAAATCTGTAACATATCATCANTGCTTTTACAGAGTTCCCTAGTCCAGCTTCGTTTAAAGCGTTTTGGATGTTTTGAAGCGCAGGGAATGTGAGGTTTATGAATGTTCCGTTGTATGATTTGAGGAATGGCTCGTTCCCAACTGCTACAAACCTGAAATAACATACATGTCTTTGCATTTGATAATGTTGTTACTAGAAACAAATCTGTAACATATCATCATGAGATGGAGAAAACTCACGTGATATTGACACCACCACTGAAGTTATAACGAGTGACGTTCTTGCGAACCCAGTCCTTGGCTCGGTCATAACTTCCCATGACGTTTAGCTGATCATTGGGGATAGCAACCATCACTTCAAGACCAGAACCGGCAAGTGCACCCATGGTGGTCTCGTCAGCATCGAAAAGCTTGACCTTGTTGATGTTATTGTCCTTGAGCATCTGAACCACTGTCTTTGGTGGCAGCTTGTGTGTGGCCATTGTCCCCCAGTTAACTCCCAACCCATCTACCATTATACCCAGAGGACCTATTAGGATTGCTAATCCGACGAAAAGAGCCAACGGACTCACCATCCTGAGAAACAAGGGAAAGGGCTTGAGAAAATTAAAAAAAAAAAAAATACAGCCAAATAAAAGAGTAACGAAACCAATGTAATGATCATAACAAGAATAGAAACAAAAACACGCTTACATCAGAACTGTATATGTGTCTTCCTGAGTTTCCTGACTTTGTTAACCCTGCTACAACTGTAAATTGTTAATCAATACACATCCAAAAACAGCGTTTTGCTGTCATCAAAAGTTAATTTATTTTTTAAAAAGAAGTAAATTCAGGCACTTTTTCAAACAGCAATGCAGCAGATTCTGATAAGTTACAATTTACTGCAACTAGAAGCAACAATGTGGATACCAAATCCATTATAGCGTGGGAGCATGATAAAGAAAAGCAGAAGATTAGTAACGAAACCATTATTTACCTGAGTGAGATATGTGCTCTGCTTTAGCGACCCTTGGCTTAACAACTTCACAAGTCGCTATGAATCAGAGTATAGAACACACTGAGATCAATCTGGTGACACAACCAATAAAAGACAAATGTGATATGTTACTTTTGAGAACAAGAGGTAACTTTCTGAAATGCTACACCTATCTATTAAACTCAAAAACAACATTCAATAACTGATGTCTCTTAGCATAAGAAGTAATGATATTACCAAATAAGAATCCAGATAAATCATTTGACACTAACAAAGTAACACAACAAAACACTAAAGCGGTTATCAAACCCTTCTGTGTTGTTCAAGGCTTACCAATGATAAATACCTATAAAGCCCAAAACTTTAGAGATATAAACACAACAAAGCTTGAAGACACCAAACCCAGAAATCGAAAAGTATCTATCTAAGCGGAAATGCAAATTGAATCAGAAAAAGTTCAAAGCTTTTCAAACGGAAAATCGACTTTGGTAACCTGAGAAAGAGAGAGAGAGATAGATAGTGATGGGCAGAAGCAGAGAATGGAGGATGAGTAGGGAGGCTCCCTTTCTTTTCAAAATCTAAGAGACTTTTGTCGCTGAGCGGTGAAAATAAACCTAAAAGTGACGCGGTGATGTGTGTGAACTGATATTGATATTTTATCAGATTGAATAAACAATTAAAACGTTCAAAACGTAACGGATGATTGGCAACAATAAATGCTTCAGTCAAGGCTTTTACCAGAACACCGTTTGTAATGGAATTTGTTTTCTTTCTTTTTTTAATTGAGATTTGTTTTTAAAAACTTGAGATTTTCTTGGCAAATATCTAAGTACAGTACATTTAATGATTTTTCGGTAATTACATACTCCCTATTTTCTAAAGTGTCATTTTGACATATCTCCTGTGAAATAAAAGATTATAAAATATATTAATATACTTTTATTTAATATATAAGTATTTAAAATAATTTAAATAAACATTAATTAGTTAATTAAGAAAATAAAAATAGTTATGTATAAAAATTTGCATTGGAATTATTGTAGGACACTTTATTTGGAAAAACAATGTTAGAATGACAATTGTTAAGAAATAGATGGAGTAGTATATGTATATATATATATATATATATATATATATATAATTTTTATTTGTAATTTTGTATACATGCATGTATTTTGGAACTCACATAACTATATTATCACTACAAAACTTGTAATTAAATGAACTAGTAAACTATTGAACTTGTTGTCTAATATTGGGAAAAAGAGGTTTTAGTATTTTGATACACAAATGAGAAAGTGCTAGAAATACATTTTGAAATTGCCACTATAAATTGCTTTAAGACATTTGAGATCAATTTCAGGTTTTGTTTAGATCTTCACTACAACGAATGGAGCAATGGACGGACAGTCAATTCTCAACAATTATCACAAGAAGCTACTTTAGATTCGATATTGTGCTCTTGGTGTGTTTTAAATTTCAACATTAGATATGATTAACCATTGAGTAATTATATAGATAAGTGTCATTATATATTCTACTATATAATAATTGAAATGCCATTAAGTTGCTTTTCTTACGTGTCTTTGTGCAATTTATTTGAAAATTTTATAATTTGGTTGATTAATGAATTTTATTAATTATTAATACCAATCAGATCTAAAAATAAAAGATAACTTTAGAATCAACTAATACAAGTTACAAAATAACACAAATATATTTAAAACTAGCGCCGATCCGCCCTACGTGTAGGATGAAAATTAACAAATAATTTAAATAATTAGAGTAAATATTTAATGTAAAATTTTATTATTTTTAAAATATATATTTTACATATTATTGTATTTAAAAATTAAATAAACCATGTTATCCGAAAAATTAATTATAATTTTTCAAAATAAATATTACATTTTATTTTTCAAAATATTTTTTTTTGTTAAATGGTTTAAGATGATTTTCTTTTGTTAATTAATCTATGTTTTAATTATATATTAGAAGTAATTTTTCAAAACCTCGTGAGATTTTTTTTTTCATTTTTGTTAGAAGAAAAGAAACAAACTTGTAAATTAAATTCACATTTTTTTCCTTTAATTTTATATATTTAAGTGGGTTATCTCATGTTTTTACCAAATTCAGTTTTTACAGTAGACTAGATTCTTTATCCGCGTTATGCGCTAATTAGCATTATAAAATAGTTTTAGTTTATTTTCGTAAATTTTCCGTAATTTATAAGCAATAAACCAAAACTATCTAAAATTGTAGATAAGTTGATTTTTTGTAGATTTGATAATGGTTTTCTATATATGTGGTGTTTTCTTTCTGATTATGCAATTACTTGGTAATACAATTACAGTGAAATTTTTTTTTGGGTCAAAGTATCGTGTTGAAAGCTGATACTTTCCAATTCAAATTCTTGCAGTTTGAGCTTGTGTTAAAGCAAACTAGAATTTGACGTACACTCCCTTGTTGGTGTTTGATTTAACTTGTGTTCAACGTAAATTCATAAATTGCTAATTTTATAAAACATTATATATTTTTTTCTGTTTTGTAATTTACATATAGAGTAGAATATATCATTTTATAATATAAATATCTAATAATATTTTTTTTATTTATACATAATATTATATTAGAAATTTTCTAATTTGATGAAATTTAATGTAATTATACTATTCATATATTAATGTTATTTTTGTTAATTAATTTTAAAATGAAACAACATACTAAAAATTGAATTTTTCCATTAGTTTTCTATGAATTTTCATTAATTTTATGATGTTTTTTATATTTAACTAAATTAAATAAGGTAATATTATATATAAAAATTATTTTATATACTATATAATATATATTTCAGTTTTTTTCATCACAAAGAAAGAAAAATCCTTGTAATTAATTAATTAAACAATGACAAAATCTGTAATAAAAAGAAATACATTTTTTTAATTATTGTAAATACAATGGCTAATATGCAAATAAAAAGAAGTATTGAATTTATTGTCTATGTTTACAGAGAGTTCATATATGTTTAGGTTCATATGTCTAGATTTTGACCCGCACTTTTAAAAGCGCGAGATAATTTTTTAATAAAAACTTATATGATCACATTTTCTCTTATTTAAAGTACATTTGAGCATAAATAGCCCAAAATCTAAGCGGAATCTAAAAAAAAAAACTGATCCGTATCTGTTCCAAAATGTAAGAAGTATAAAAATGAGTTTTTGTAGAATTGTAAAAAATATCCGAACGCGAAGTGTTATTATCCAAACCCGAATGGATAATCTTAAAAGTCAAAAATCCTAAAAATCTAAATAGCCGATCCGATATCCGAATCAATCACAAATATAAATACTTGAAACATAAAAAATGTGCTTCAAATAATAAAATTCATATTTATTATAAAAGTAGTATTTAAATTTTTAAATAAGTACCTTAAATAGCCAAATCTATATAGATAAATATTATTTTTTTATATTTTGTTTTTAATTTTTGGATTTAATTTCAAATATATCTGAATTAAACTAATATAATACTAATCCGAATGATATATGTTACTTTATGGGTTTAAGATGTGTTACAAAATAGAACTAAAACCATGAGTTATATATTAACCTAGTCCATACTTACAAATTTACCAGAATGAGACATATGATGTGATATAAATTAGAACTGAAATTCAAAATATCCAACCCGTATCCCAACGGGTACTCAAACGCCCAAGTCTATTTAAAGAGTGTTCTATGTTTTGTTCGGTTAGTTTATATTTGATAAATCTTTTACATGTTTGTTGAAATAACCCATAAAACTATACCCATTTAAATAAATCAATAATAACATGTTTTGTCATATCATTAAATATTATCAGTATCTAAATATTAATATTTATTCTATCATATATATATAATTTTAATATTCTATCTATTATAATTATACTATTATGTATTTGGCAAGAGTTTTGTAGAATTTGTGTTTTCCATTTGGATTAAAATATAATTACAAATTTGTAGGTATATATGTTTCTTTTATATAAAAAATATAATTGATTAGTTATTTAAATTTAGTGTTAATGTAAATTGAATTTATTAAAAAATTAGTTATTTAGTTCCTTAGTTTTAGGTTAGAGTACATCTTCTATATTAAAAGAGAAGTCACAACTTCTCTTTATGTGTGATTTTTTTAAAATGGACTCTTCTTTAGAAAAGTTGTAACCTTATCTTTTGTATTTGTATAATAAAATCTTAACAACCATATTTAATTTCCATTTTCATTCTCTTAATACATAAGAACATCTTAAAACTAACAATACATTTATATAAACATTTAAATATATGTTCAACGTTAAAAATATATATTCATAAAATAAATAACATATGGATGACAAAAAATAAAAAATAAATAAATAACATATGTATATAAAATTGAAAGTAATACCCGCGCGGTTGCGCGGGTAAACATCTAGTATTAAATTATAGGAAAGCTAGTTAAATGTAATGGTACAACCTAGACTAATTTTTTATGTAGATAAAAATTATATTTTTAGTAGTATAGATAATCATCGGTAATTATTATTAATTTGCATATATCTTATATATTAAA